TTGAGGTAGGCCTGTATTGCAATATACTTTCCTCTTAGCACAGCCTTGGCTGCGTCCCACAGATTTTGCAGTGTTGAGTTATTGTTGTCATTTGTCTCCATATATTGCTTGATCTCTGATTTTATTTGGTCATTGATTCATTGGATATTTAGGAGCATATTGTGAAGCCTCCATGTGTTTGTGGAATTTTTACTTTTCTTTGCATAATTAATTTCTAGTTTCATACCTTTGTAGTCTGAGAAACTGGTTGGTACAATTTTAATCTTTTTGAATTTACTGAGGCTCTTTTTGTGGCCTACTATATGATCTATTCTTGAAAATGTCCCATGTGCACTTGAGAAGAATGTGTATTCTGTTGCTTTTGGGTGTAGAGTTCTGTAGATGTCTGTTAGGTCCATTTGTTCTGTTGTGTAGTTCAGTGCCTCTGTCTCCTTACTTGTCTTCTTTCTGTCTGGTTGATCTGTCCTTCAGAGTGACTGGAGTGTTGACGTCTCCTAGAATGAATACATTGCATTCTATTTCACCTTTTAATTCTGTAAGTATTTGTTTCACATATGTGGGTGCTCCTGTGTTGGGAGAATAGATATTTATAATGGTTATATCTTCTTGCTGGATTGACCCCTTTATCATTGTGTAATGTCCTTCTTTGTCTCTTGTTACTTTCTTTGTTTTGAAGTCTATTTTGTCTGATCCAAGTACTGCAACTCCTTCTTTTTTCTGTGTTATTTGCATGAAATATCTTTTTCCATCCCTTCACTTTTAGTCTGTTTATGTCTTTGGGTTTAAAGTGAGTCTCTTATAGGCAGCATATAGATGGGTCTTTTTTTTTTTATTCATTGAGTGACTCTATATCATTTGATTGGTACATTCAGTCCATTTATATTTAGGGTGATTATTGATAGATATGTACTTATTGCCATTGCAGGCTGTATATTCGTGGTTACCAAAGGTTCAAGGTTAATTTCCTTATTATCTCAGGGTCTAACTTAACTCACTTAATATGCTATTGCAAACACAATCTAAAGGTTCTTTTCTTTTTCTCCTCTTTCTTCCTCCTCCATTCTTTATATATTAGGTATCATATTCTGTATTCTTTGTCTGTCCCTTGTTTGACTTTGGGGATAGTTAATTTAATTTTGCATTTACTTAGGAACTAGCTGTTCTACTTTCTTTACTGTGGTTTTATTACCTCTTTCAGCTATTGAACCTTAGGAACACTTCCATCTATAGTAGTCCCTCCAAAATAGACTGTAGAGATGGTTTGTGGGATGTAGATTCTCTCAGCTTTTGCTTATCTGGAAATTGTTTAATCCATCCTTCAAATTTAAGTGATAATCTTGCCAGGTAAAGCAATCTTGTTTCCAGGCCCTTCTGCTTCACTGCATTAAATACATCATGCCATTCCCTTCTGGGCTGTAAGGTTTCTGCTGAGAAGTCTGATGTTAGCCTGATGGGCTTTCCTTTGTATGTGATCTTATTCTCTCTCTGGCTGCTTTTAATAGTCTGTCCTTATCCTTGATCTCTGGCAATTTTATTACTGTATGTCCCTGTGTTGTCTTCCTTGGGTCCTTGTTTTGGGAGATCTGTGATTCTCCATGGCCTGAGAGACTATCTCCTTCCCCAGATTGGGGAAGTTTTCAGCAATTACCTCCTCAAAGATACTTTCTATCCCTTTCTCTCTCCTTCTTCTGCTATCCCTATAATGTGAATATTGTTCCATTTGAATTGGTCACATAATCCTCTCAATATTATTTCATTCTTAGAGATCCTTCTCTCTCTGTCTCAGCTTTTTTATTCTTCTTCCCTAGTTTCTATTTCATTTATTGTCTCTGCCACCATATTCAACCTGCTTTTAATACCCTCCATTGTGCTTTTCAATGATTGGATCTCCGACTGGAGTTCATTCCTGAGTTTCTGGATATCTTTCCATACCTCCATTAGCGTGTTGATGATTTTTATTTTGAACTCCCTTTCAGGAAGAGTCATAAGGTCCATATCCTTTAATTCTTTCTCTGTAGTTATATTAATTTTACTCTGGACTAGGTTCCTTTGGCATTTCATATTTATATATGGCACCCTCTAGTGTTCAGAAGCTCTACTCTGTGGAGCTGCTCATCCCCTGAAGCAATGTTGGGGGTCACAGTGGAGCGGTATTGGTGCCTGGGGGAAGGAAAGAGTTGTTTCCTGCTTCCGGGCAGCTATGCCTGTCTCCACTGCCTGAACCAGTGGGTCTAGCACACAGGTATAAACTTTTGTCCCAGAGCAGCTGGATATGGATCCCTGCTTTCCACAAGGGGCTGGAATCTCAGTCTCTCCAGGAATTCTGCCTGTATTAGCTTCCCAACCCGGTAATCACATGAGTATCATGAAAGCACCATGAAATGTAGATTTGTGCTCCCAGAGCAGATCTCCGGAGCTAGGTATTCTGCAGTCCCAGGCCTTCCACTCCCTCCCCACTCCATTTCTCTTCCTCCCCCTAGTGAGCTGGGGTGGGGGAAGGGCTTGGGTCCTGCCAGGCCACAGCTTTGGTACATTACCCTGTTCCATGAGGTTTGCTCTTTTCTCCAGGTGTATGCAGTCTGGTGCAGTCTTCTTTCCTGTTTGTCTCTCAGGATTTGTTGCACTAACTATATTTTCTAATTGTATACAGTTTTAGGAGGAAGCCTCTGTCTCTCCTCTCACACCACCATCTTTAATCCACCATTGTATAATTTTTACTTCAGATTTTTTCTAATACTATTTCTCATAGGATATCATAAGCAAACTTTCAGGATAACCATTGTAAGTATAGCTAATATATTTTGAGCACTTAGTAGGTTCTAGGTATTGAATGGTTTAATATTTGTATGTGACAAGTGCTATCATTATGTACATTTTATGGAGTAGGAAGTTGAGAATAAGATATTTTAATCAGTTTGTCCAAGATGATGCCAGTAGTTTATAGCAGAGTCTAGATTTGAACACAAATACTCTGACTCCAGAGCCTATGTTCCTAACTATATTATGGCAGTTGCAAATTAAAGAATGGCAGTGACTCTGAAAAAGGAATCCCCTTACTCTTGTCAGTGTACTGGAGGATACCTTCCTAATATGTCCCATGCAACGTTCCTAAAGGATATGTGACTAATAGGACATTCCTTTCACTGGTAGTTACTCTCCTGCAACTAGCCATGACACGTGTAGAGAATATCATTGTATAAATCTTTATTCTCTGTGACAACTAAATCTAATGACAGCCTTGACAATATGAGACCAAAATAAGTTCAGTCACAAAAGTGGTTGCTGGTTTGTTATGAAATAGTTTGTATCTAATAACATATCAATTTTAAACATGCTATTGAAGTCTTCACAAATTCATGTAACTTATGTATAGTCATTTTAAAGCAGTGACCTAGGGGCAAGCTTATGGGTTGTTGATAGCAACTGTATATTCAGGTGGTCCCAAATATATAGCTGCTGAATACAGAATATTTCCCCCACTATTAAACATGGTTATTATAATCTACCCAGAGTGATACAAGCTAAGTTTCAAAGAAACATTGACCTGAAATGTTTCAGTGCAACTTGGAATGGGCTTGAAATGAGTCACTGCAACTTGGAATCAGCAGTTAGATCAATGTGTAGTTAAGAAATGTTTCAGTGCAACAAAGATTCTCTCAAGTGTAAGACCTTTTGGGAATGCAGCATCTTTCCCCCATATTCAGCCTGGTTATTGTAATCTACCAGAGTGATACATGCTAGACTTCAAACAAACATTGGCCTGAGATCTTCCCGTGTAGCTTGGGTCAGTGCTGCTGGATCAACGTGTAGCTAAGAAAATTATGGCTGTGGTAGATCCATTGACAATCCTTTTTTTCTCCTCAAAACTTGGGGATAGTTTTTGTCCTGACTTCAGCTTACTACCAGATGGAATCTATCTTAGGATCAATCAGCCCTTGAAGATTAATATACTATTTCATTTGGTTTCTGGGTCACTCTTCTAATGATGTATCATTCTCTTTTCAGAGATTCTGTTTTGCTAAAAGCTGGAAACTGGGCTAAAAAGATTGATGTGAAAAGAGCTCTTAAATCTGAAGATCTTAGCATAAATCTAATTAGTTCTGAGTATGGTAAGTTCATTGAAGTAATGAAGACATGAATGTAAAGAATTTGGTAGCATTTAAATATTATTACCTTTATGCTAAAACAGAAAAGGAATGTAAAGGATACTGTGTAAAGGTAATTTATTTAAATAATATGAATAATTTTAAAGGAAGTTAGTGTATTTAGATATGTAAAAGATAGCATGGACTAGGATAATGAAATTAAAAATGTATTCATTCATTTATAGATACTTTATCTTCCAAGATAGTTATATTTCAATTATTGTAGGAACATTCATTTTTATTTTTATCATGGTGGATAAATTTTCATTTATTATATTTTTTAACTTTTTGAACATTTTAATTTCCTGTACTTGTTAGCTCTTTCCTTCAACAAATAAATGATCTCATATATGGATTTATATCATATAAATAAGCACTGTATACTTTTTTCCTTTTTCCAGTTGGACTTGATATTCAGCAGAAATTTACAGTCTTTTACTTAGGACCCAAGAGGTTTGGAAACCAAATAATTATGCGGAAAAAATCAGAAACAGAGATTTCCCATTCTAAACATTCAGATAGACCTATAGCAGGACCAAATAAAGGTAAGTACGTATATTTATTCCTATTTTGCATTAAAGCAATGAGATGGCCAAGGAGGAGTATTGTTATAGTACTGCTTCACTCAGATTGTGGATACTCTGAAATTAGATGTTTAGTCTTCATAATAATTGCATTAATAATATATAATAGGAGTTCTCTCTTATAGTTAATATTTGTCAAATCAGGGTGATATTTGGAACACATTATTTTACTAGTTTTTTTTTATATATACATTTCCCCTTTTTTATACCCATTCCATTCTTATGGTCCTTGTGAGGGGGAGAGCAAGTTATGTACAAGAGTTTACAGATTCGATTAGGCAAATCAGGTGACAATAAACTTACATTCTCTCTTTTTATTATGGGACATTTTGAACATGCACAAAAGTAGACAGAAGTGTATAATGAACCCTCAGGTATTCATCATCCACCTTAAACAATTATCAACTCATGGCTAATATTTTTTCATCTGTACCTCTCTTCAGTTTGTCCTTTCTAAATTTTGAAGAAAATCAGATATATTATTTCCTCTATAAATGTAAGTGGTAAGGATTTAAGGAAGAAATGTTTCTATATTACTCTTACACATAAAAAGCTAACAGTAACAAATACCATCCAATATTGAGTTAATATTTGAATTGGTAATTATCTCATAAATGTTGTAGATGTATCATCTGATACCATATACAGTAATCAGATTTGCTCCTCAATCCTTTTGATATGTCCCTAGTAGTTTTTGACAGCTTCTTTTCTGTGTGATGATATAATATTCCAGGCTTATCTTGTATATTTCTAGTCCCAGACCTGTAATAAGCTTTTTCCCTTATGATCTTTGGTTTCTTTTAATGATAATTTTCTAATATCAAAATCTGTGTGCTAAATAAGCTCATTGCCATGAAGTAATCATTTTTGGTTATCACTTGGATTTTTCCATGTGCAGAATTAGGAAATACATGGGTTTCTTAAAGTTTATTTTTAAGATGAAGTGTACAATTAATTTATACATAAATCTCTAAATCAAATTCAGAGCTACAGAATATATTGTTAAACTCAATTATCTGTATCTCCTTTCTGCCATGCTGACAAATTTAGTTCTCATTATTCCGATAATAATAGAATGTTACTAATTTTATTCTACATTATACACGTAATAAATAGTCTCAGAATAACAATACCAAACCACCACTCTTAATATGATTATTAAAAATAATAGTTTAAGATTTTTTTGCAAATAATTTGTTCTTAGAATGTATCTCCCTAGGCATGTATAACCAAATTAGTGTTTCAAAATCACTTAGAAAAGCCCTTCTGTATGTAGTTATGCCACTAAATGGATACACATATACTTTTCAGTTAAATTATATTTATATTTTATTTTATGGTGTTAGAATCGTTTTTAAGAATTAATTTTGTTTTATAGCAATTTAAAATATTTACATGATTCCATGGTCAAATGTACAAAGCAAACACTAAATATCATTCATAGTCAACGGATATAGGTAGTCCCTCATTCATCCAGGTCTTCTTCATTCACTTGGTTCTATTTTCATTGCTTTGACCCAATGAGGCAAGCAACTAATAGGTACTAGGGCATGTAGGAGCAGTAGCTCCTACCAGAGTAACCTAAACAGTCATAATCTCTGAATAGCATTTAGTTATAACAAATAATAACTACAGTGAACGGTGGCAGGAAAAGCAATGTAGAACTATTCTATGAACCCATTAGCATTCATCCCCTTCCTTTTTAAAGGGCACAGAAAAGATCCCATGTGGGGGTAGGATGTAGTATTTTGTGGCAGGCCAATGGTCCCATAGCAATGACTATAAAAGCCCACATAAGTTATAAAGTTTATAATTCACCTGTGAAAGCAGACTAGGAATTAGATTTCCAGAGAGGGGAGAACCATTCCAGTACTGAGGAGTCAAGGACCTATAGGTTCTTAATTAAAAGACTGGGTAGGCCATGCCCTGGAAAGGGGTTTATACTATCAGCCACTTGCCATGTTTGTCTGAAAGAGGGAAAGGAAACCTTCTCTGGTGGAATATAAGATAATCTGGAATCTACAGACACAATGTCTGCCATGTGGTCAAAATAATGAGACCTACAAAAAGTCAAGACCATATGACTCATAATTAACTATATAAAAAATAAAGCAGCTCTGCAAATGATTCAAATAGTATAGTTAGCATTTAAAAATAACCATGATAAATATTTTCAAGAACATAGAGGAAAAATAGATGAAATGTATGAAAGGGTGGAAAATTTCACCAGAATGTTAGAATCCACACAGAAGTCTAAAAGGACTTTCTACAATGGAAAACTACATTATCTGAAGTGAAGAACTCATTGGGTAGGTGTAACAACAGATTGGATTTAGCCAAACACAGAATTTGTGAACTGTTAGACATATCAATAGAAAATAACCAAACTGAAGCCCAGAGATTAGAAGTGGAAATGAAAAGGACACAAGAGTGTAATACTCAAATGTTCTAACATGTGCATAGTGTTAGAGGCAGAGTAGAGAAGAATGGAACAAATGCAATATTCAAAGAAACAATGAGAACATTTCAAAATAATGAAAAACAAAACCCCACAGATTCAGAATTTCAGCAAACCCCAAGCAGAGATAAATACACCTGAAACCACATCTGGGCATATTATAGAAAAACTGCTGAAAATCTTAAATGCAGACACAGAAAAACTGCAAAATTACTTTCAAAGGAGCAGCAGTGAGACTAACAGCTGACTTCTCAACAATAATTATGGAAACTAGAAGATAGTGGAACAGCAGCTTAAAAATGCTGCTAATTTAGATTTCAATGCCTTTGAAAATATCCTTCAAAAATGAAAGGGAAATAGAGACATTTTGGAAAAAAAAAACAACTAAAGGACTTTATCACTGCTACTAAATTTATCAGCCTGCACTAAAAGAAATACTAAAGAGAGTTCTGTAGGGGAAAATAACCACAAATGAAAGCACAGAAATACAGGAGAGAATGAAAAACAGTATGCAGGGTAACTACATGACAAAAAAATTGAAATGACTTAGAGAATTTAAAATAAACATGAAATTAAATTGTAAGAACAATCTTATCTCAAAAATACAGTGTATCAAATACAAAAGAATAAAGCATAGAAAAATTAAAAGCAGAAATCAGTGAAATATAGAATGCAAATATATAACAGAAAAATCAACAAAGCTAAGATTTGGTTCTTTGAAAATGTGAATACATATAATAAGCCCTCTCAGAACTGATAAAGAAAGATAAGATACAAATTAAAACAGTATCAAGAATGAAAAAGAGAATGTCACTATAAATCCTATGGACATCAACCAGATAAAGACAAGATATTATTAGTAGCTTTATGCCAATGAATTTGACATAATTTGGGTAAAATGAAAAAATCCTCAAGAAGCAGAGCTTACCAAAATTGACAGAAGAAATAGAAAAATCTGACTAGTCTGATACGAGTAATGAAACTGAGGCAATTATTAAAAAGCTTTCCACAAAGAAAACCTGAGGCTCAGGTGACTTCACTGGTAAATGTCACCAAACATGTAGGAAGAAATAATATAAAACTTACCCAAACCTCTCCAGAGAATGGAAAAGAGTATTTTCTAATGTTTTAATTTTTTGGAACTAGATCCACATGACCTTGATTTCAAAACTTGATAAGGACATTAAAAGAAAGGGAAATCATTTAATGCCAGTCTATTTCATGGATACAGATCCAAAGTTCTTAACAAAATATTTGCAAGCTGAATCCAGTCATGTATTTTAAAAGCATAATGTAGCACAACTATGTATAGCTTATTCCATATGTGCAAGAGTGCTTTAGCATTCAAAAATTGATCAATATAATTCACTACATTAACAGGGAAAAAGGAGAAAATCATGTGATTCTCTTGATGTCAAAATTTTGACAGAAAGTCAAATGCTGCTTTTTTATTTAAGAAATATATGTAGCAAATGTCATACACAATGTGAAATATTTTAAAAACTTTCCTAGTTAGATGGAGAATGATACAAGAATGGTTTCTATTACTGTTTCTATTTAACATTGTGCTGGAAGTCTTAGTACAATTATATAAGAAAAGGAAATAAAAGTGATAAGGATTGGGAAGAAAGAAAAAAATGTCATTACTTGAAAACAACATGATTATATACCTCAAAAATCCAAAAAAACTCTATAGATATACTATAAGAACTAATAAAAAAATTGGAAATATCACTGGATACAAATTCAATATTAAGAAACATTGTACAATATCTAAAACAATAAAATACTTAATAAATTTAACAAAATAAGTGTACGATGTGAACACTGAAAACTATAAAACTGCTTTGAAAGAAGTTAAGGAAGACCTAAATGAATTGAAAGATACCCCATGTTCATGGATTGAAAGTTTTAATATTAAGATGACAACATTTCCCAAGTTAATCCACAGATTCAGTGCAATCTCTATCAAAATCCCAGCTGTGCTCATTGAAGAAATTCATGAGCTGATTCTAAAATTCATATGGAAATGTAAGCTCCCAAAATAGCCAGAGTAATCTTGGGGGGAAAAAAAAAGATGAAGGATTTACTATTTCTTTTCAGAACTTATTACTGAACTACCATAATCAATACAGTGTGTTAGTGGCATAATAATAAATGTGTAGATCAATAGAATATAATTGAGAATGCAAAAATAAACTCATGCATCTATGGCCAATTGATTTTGGACAAAAATGCCAAAACAATTAAATAGGGGAAAAAATACTCTTTCAGCAAATAAGGCTGCATAACTGGATAGCCTGTTGAATTAATTTGGACCTCTACTCCATACCATGTATAAAAATTATCTCAAAATGGATCACATATCTAAACGTAAGAGATAAAACTATAATATCCTTGAAGAAAACATGGGTTTATATAAGTTTTTGCATTAGGTGGTGATTTCTTAGATACAACAACTGAAACTCTAGCAACCAAAGGAAAAAATAGATGAATTGGACTT